GACAGGATTTGTTCTCTCACTACTTCTTCCAGCCAGTTTGTGTTCTCCACCACTCGTCAGAAACAACTTAGGAAATTCTACCGCCTGGAACGCAAGGAACGGAATACTCCGACTCCTTTCCACCGTAACCGTAGCCCGCCAACTGGATCTCCTATATCCTGGCGTCATCCATCTCGCCTACATAGCCCGCCAACTGGATCTCCTATATCCTGGCGTCAGTCTTCTCGCCCGCGTAACCTGCCATCTGGATCCCCTATATCCTGGCGCCATCCACCTCATCTCCGTAGTCAAGACACCTTCACCAAGCATACGGTAGTCAACCTCAGCAGCCGACAGCTGAACAGTACCGAAACGAAAGTTCTGTCCCTTGGCATGAACTTTGCTGTTCCTCCAAAGTCCGTACCCATCGAGAGCATCATCCAGTCGACGGAGCCAGCCCTCAGACACCTCACCAAGACAGCAGCCAACGACGTCCGCATCAAGATGAATGAAGTCCTCCGCAAGGCTCGCCCAGCTAAACCTAATCTGACCAAACCAGAGCGGTTCGCTGTCAGTGACCTTCGCCGAGACAACTCCATCCACATCCTCACAGCGGACAAGGGCAACGCCACCGTCGTCATGGACAGGGAGGACTACAGCAACAAGGTAAAAGACATACTTTCTTCTGGTTCATACCGCCCACTCCCCAAGAACCCCATCCCCGCCATCGAGAAGCGAGTTGCCAGCCAACTTCTCCTCTTGCATCGAGCAGATGCATTATCCACCCCCCTCTACAGACGACTCAGACCCTCCAGTTCGATCTGTCCCAGGTTCTTTGGTCAACCAAAGATTCACAAACCTGAGATCCCTCTGCGCCCCATAGTTGCCTCTCGAGGTTCCCCCACTTACCACACAGCCCAACACTTGGCCAAAATCCTCAGACCCTTGGTGGGTCAGACACCACACCATGTGTCCAACTCTTCCCAGTTTGTCAGCATCACCAGAAACCTCACTGTCCAACCCACTGACTTGCTTGTCAGTTTTGACGTCGTCTCACTCTTCACCAATGTTCCCACAGGCGAGGCCTGCAAACTAGCTAAGGAAAGACTTGAACATGATACCACTCTCGCTGAACGCACAGACCTGTCCCCCGACCAAATTCATGATCTGTTACTAACATGTATTTCTTCCAGTTGTTTTCAGTGGCAAGGCAAGTTCTACGAGCAAACGGCTGGGACCTCCATGGGATCTCCTTTATCCCCGGTCCTAGCCGACATCTTCATGGAGGAGTTCGAGTCTTCCTCCCTACTCACAGCGGATCTTCGGCCGAGCCTGTGGCTACGCTACGTTGATGACACCTTCGTAGTGTGGCCACATGGCCCGGACACACTCCAAGACTTCCTCCAGTACCTCAACAAGCAACACACCAGCATCAGCTTCACCATGGAACAAGAACAGCATGGCACCATTCCTTTCCTGGACGTCAAGATCTCCAGGAATCCGGATGGCACCCTGGGACACAGCGTCTACAGGAAACCCACCCACACCGACCGCTATCTCCACCAGCGGTCGTTCCATCACCCCAGCATCAAGTCATCGGTCAACCGCACCCTAGTACAGAGAGCCTTCGAAGTCTGCGACCAAGACAACCTCAAGCGTGAACTCAAGCACATCCAGACGTCACTACAACGGAACGGCTACAAACCCAACCGCATCAAGATCAGCAAACCTGACCAACGGGTCCCCTATACCCAAGGTCCTCCCACTGTATCTCCCTCAGTCACTCTTCCTTACATAGGTCCAGCTTCTCATCATCTGCAACGCATCCTCCGACAAGCCGGCGTCAAGGTGTACCACTCATCTGGCAACAAGCTCCAAGGCAGCCTCCATACTCACAAGGACAAGCAGGACTCCTCTTCCAAGCCGGGAGTCTACCGCATTCCATGCGAATGCGGCAAAGTCTACATCGGCGAAACCGGTCGGAACCTTCCCACTAGGCTCAAGGAACACAGAGCACATGGACGGCGAGGGGATTTTGACAAATCGGCCATTGTCAAACATTCCCACATCAACGACCACAAAGTTGATTGGGATGCGGCCGAACTCATCGCACCGATCCAGTTCTGGCATCCAAGACGCATACGGGAAGCCATCGAGATCCGCAAGCACAACACAGTTCCGCAAGACATCGGGTTTCATCTCAACGACATCTGGCTCCCACTTCTCCAGACTGATGGGTCTCCTATACCCTAGGTCCTCAGCTACTACCTTAGACTGATGGGTCTCCTATACCCTAGGTCCTCCCTCCACTGACACTGCAACCCTACTGTTCCACTTCAGTGGGCACTAAGCTTGCTCAGGGATCCTGTCTACTTGGCATCCTCACAGGATGCAACTTCACACTCCACTGATTTCACCCTTTTGCTACTTAAGTATTCTCTTTCTTAGAGTTTAGGCACTCTCCTGAAGACGGTCAGAGCATACTGACCGGAACGTCGAGTTTATACCTCTGGTTCTTTTCAGAACCATTCTCTTAGTTGAGAAATTATTCGCACATGGTGTTTCCGCAAACCTTTCATTATTTAGTATCTTCACCATGCAAAGCCTCAAATCTTACTATGCAGACTTTATATGCATTGTAAATGAACATGCATAGCTGGTAATTTCCACGTATCTGAAATTGAATAATTAATTGGATTGCTGCAGGTGCAGTTTTAATCATAAATCATATTGGTTTGTGTTGAATGTGTTACTATGGCCGTGCGTGTATTGTGCCTTTTAGATAATTGCTTTTCCCGCCCCCCCCCCCCCGCCAATTTGACCGTTGGGGCCCTTGCGGCTCCGATCCCCCGCCGTGGCTTCGCAAGTTGTTGCACCACGACAAAACTGTGCTTTGAAAAAAATCCTGTGGAGAATCCTGATTTTTGTTAAAACGTGTCTGAGGAAATCTTACAATTCTCTATACAAAGCATCTAGACTGGGGGCTGGACACCATTCTGACCATAGATGTATATATGAACATTTATTATGCATATATATGGATGTAACATTAAACATCATTATCCTCAGTTACGCCCATTTTTTTCATATTGTAAAAAAAAAAATGATAAGGATGATGGCCAACAAGCAATATAATACCTTACAGCTTTAAAAACCACTTGGTAAAAACATATGTGAAAATGTTAGTATATACGTTGGCGTAGCCTTGGTCAAGGCGCTAAATGTTATTCATCCCGGCCGTGGCGTGTAAACGATTATCCTCGCTAGGGCCATGCATAATGCAGTGCATTAAAAATACGGCGCGAACAGCGACCTCATGCGGCCACTATTTCTATGCAAATTAGTTGGACCCAATATCGCGCCTTGGTTCAATCGTCGGCAAAAGCTTATGTTTTTCTTTATTTTGCGCTGGATTTCTAGCGCACGACCTCATATGCGAATACAGGTAAGTGTAGGCGGGGCTAATATGTGGAGTGTCCAATCACACCTTGGTAAATCCGGACGTCATCAAACTGTTTGCAGCTAGCTATTCGCCTTTAAATTTTGCGGACGTGACAGGAACCACAGTTTTTGTGCATTGGTGCCGTGTGTAGAGACACATAAAGTGTACGTGTACATGTATGGATTATGTACGGTGCCACGTTTTACTAAGCAAGTTTCCCTGCAACGATCGACCAATAAGAAAACGACATTTAAGGTCAGCTAATAAGGCTATTAACATAATGAGCACCACCCCCAAAACCTCACATGGACGATTGAACCAAGGCGCTATATTAGGTCCAACTGATTTGCATAAAAATAGTGGCCGCGTGAGGTCGCTGTTCGCGCTGTATTTTTTAATGCACTGTACTGCATGCATAGCGCATAGACATTATGACTGCATGCATTACCGCGTTACGGCCGGATAAAAAACAACTAGCGCCTTGACCAAGGCTAATGTTGGCGTAAAATATGTAGGGGGATAAATTAGTATTATTATTATATTTTTGGGGGGAGGGACGTCACCATGCATTGGCGTCCCCGCCCAAATATTATTGGAGTAGCATGCCCCCCCCCACCTCTCTCACCCGTCCCCCTACCGCTCCCCCATCCCACCGTTCCCCCGTCCCCCACCCCTTCCCCCGTCCCCCTACCCCATCCACCGTTCCCCGTCCCCCACCCCATCCCCGTCCCCCAAGTCCCCTACCCCCATCCCACCGTTCCCCCGTCCCCCACCCCCTTCCCCCGTCCCCCTACCCCATCCCACCGTTCCCCCGTCCCGCCCATCATCCCCCATCCCCCAAGTCCCCAACCCCCATCCCAACGTGCCCCCGTCCCCTATCCCCCATACCCCGTCCTCTACCCCCCATCCCACCGTTCCCCCGTCCCCATCCCCCGTCCCTCCCCCCCCCTCCCCCCTCATCCCCTCGTCCCCCGTTCTCCCCTCCATTCAAGCTGATCAAAAATCAGCGGAGAATTACTCACAAGCAATAGGCCTGTATTGCCTGACATGTGCTTATATTTAATTGTATAGAAATAACACGTTTAACCTGTAAACCAAAGCTCCACCATACTGGCCCCAGACACTTTGTTGTGCTTCCCTGTTGCTCTGTAATGTACTTCTGGGGTAGTCGTCCTCCAACCCCTGCAGGAGACCTCTAGGATATCAAGTTATGCCAGCATGTTATGGGGGCGGACCTCTTTTAACGCTAGAGGGTGTTCTTTTTATTATTTATTCACATTTCATAAAGCCGTGCGGTTCAGGAAAGTCAAAAATAGTCATCTAGCTTCCTCTTCGCTTTAATAAATCAAACAAATACTTTTAAAAAGGCACTTCCTTGGCCAGCGGGGGGGGGGGGGGGGGAGCACCTAGGGGCACTGGGAATTTGGCCCGTGGGCACGTCCCCTCCCCCATGCAACTAGCCCCCCCCCCCCCATTGGCCCGTTTGAAGAATTCTTTTCTTTCATTTTCAATTAATACAAAAGACATTTTCTTAATCACAAGTCAGCCGTATACCATTTACTTGCCTGTCTGTTGCAGGTATGGTGGTAGCACAGTCAGATTTAGGTGATCTTGGAGATTTGGGAGATCTTGGGGATATCTTAGATGATTTGGATCTGGGTGACATTGTTATCATTGGTACGGAGATGCCCGACCAACCCATGGAGCAAGGTAAAAATTAAGCAACAAAACTGATACCTGTGAGAAGGCATGAAGAAATTGATGTCCCAACCACATCTAAAATGGCTACAACGGTGTCCCCGCCGGCCCTGAGTGGTTATACGTTCTTCTTATCAGTCTTCTTTTTATACCAATAGAAAATGTTGGCATTGGTTAGCAAGCACGCCTAAATCCTGTCAGAGTATGCGGTAATTGAGTTTAAAGCACTTTTGATTTAAAATGCAATTTAGCCATACTTTTGTTGACACATAATTTGACATTTAAAAGTGAACGTACATACAACCAAAATGAGACCCAAGAAAGTGGTCGTCCTTATATTCCATCCATACAAGAACGTATGCTCAACATTTTCACAGAATTAAGTTATATTTTTATTTCTTCGATTACACAAAAGATACATAACATCAAGTGAAAGAAAATTCAGTTGAACCCATTAATTGATTGTGGATAGATTGCAAGTGGATGTGAGATGGTCATGTGATCGTAATGGCAGTATAAACAATCAAAGTGCTGTAAAATATTGGAGTCATTTTGTATGTTATAGTAACTGTTGATGTACTGATGGATCACACATCATCACAGGTCCATCACATGTCAATCAACATCCAATCCGGTCAAACCTATTCAAGTGATCTGTGACAAAGGCATGCCTTTGTTATTCTGCGTCTCCGTTGATGCTTGTGATTGGACTTGTGATCTGACTTATGACGTAGTTGAGACCTAATTTGTGAATGTATATAATCCATGACAAGTAGGCTTACCCGACTCAAACACCTGCTATTTTTGTTTTGTTTATTACTATTTTGTTTTGATCACAGATCAAACTCTGACTTGCTATGAGTGCGGTGAGGTCAGTGAACTCAGCAGAACTGACCAGTCACGGTCTTGTGCCATGCCTTCTAAGGCCACAGTCAATGGGACCGTCTGCGGGGCACCAACCTATCGCCATACCAATCGTTGCGGCTGGATGGAGGTTACTGTCTCAACTCCCAGAACACATGGTAAGACTGCGTCCTGCGGCTTGAAATGAGCCTAAGGAAGCAGCTCAAGCCTTCCCAATACACGTCTGTACAGTGTGTTACTTGCAACATTAACCGTTCGCATCCAAGTCATTTGTCAGACACCCGAGCCCCTGACCGTAACATTTATTCATATTTTGAAATATTATAACTACATTTGAAAATGTGTTAATTGTTGTGGAACTTTACCTGATTTATTTTTAAAAGATGGCTTTTTTTAAATCAATTGATCGATTTTCCAGTATCATGAAAAGCAACGTAAAAGTGACGTAAAAAGTAATTATAAACTAGGTGAAGAAATATTGCGGAGAAAATGCATAAACATAACAAAAATAAATACTAAAGTTGAGTTTTTTTCCTGACTATACTAGAATCCGAGTTGCTGAATTGAAACACAATCAAACTTCTTTATTCATAATCCTACAACTTGTTTTTTTTTCTCAGATGAAATGTTGGAGTTGTACTGGATCTTCAGAGGGTGTGTTTCTGTCCCTGATTCGTCGGGTATCGGTGATGATTGCTTCTCTGATGCTGACCTAGTGGGAACGCTGGACAAACTGGGCATGTCACTCTCAGAAGTACGTCATCATTCAAACTGACCAATAGGAAGTCTCAAGTATCATGACATCAGTCTCATGGCTTATAACTGCAACTTTTCAACAACGCTGCTAAGTATAAAAGACTTCATTAAAACTTACTCTAAATTCTTTCTGTGGTTCACTTAAAGCCAATTGGAGTTGGAGATAACTTATTACCAGGAACACCGCATAATGATCTCGATACCCCTGGATTATATCTGTGCATTTGAAACAAAAAGTAAATGTACATAGTTCAAGTTCTTGCCTGTCCGTGCGAAATCATTGATCAATATAGAACGCTTGATTACAACACAAATGTATTGCCTTCTTTTTCACTAATTGTCCAGTGTCGCCCAGACGACTAACTATTTTGTTTGTTTGTTTTTTGGTTACTTTTTTCCAGATTGTGGGGAGCAGCAGCAACAGTACCATCACCGGCAAGGGTTGTTTCTGCAACAAAGACTACTGTAACGGAGCATCGCGCGTCAGATTCCTGACTCTTAGCGCAGTGTTGGCTATGGCAGCGTTGGCGTTCGCCATACTTGATTAATGTCGCCATGACACAACTGTAGCCTTTATTCGAGTCTGATGTGTCGGTATACAGTATCTGATATTTGGCTAATGAACACAGAACCGGGATTTGTTTCTAACATTTCTGTTTACCGTGCATTTGAGGCAGCCGGTAAATTTATGTAACATACATTTTATGTTTTGCACGTTTTCATAGATGCATAAATAGTGAAATACGCTCATTTGGTTATACCGACCAATGAACGACTTGAATAAAGTCTGCCAGACAAACATAAATCGCTTATTTCAAACCTTGTCAGAAGACATGATATACACATAACGTGGTAATCATAGTTATAACGAGGTCAAACAATATGCCTCGGAGGACATTGATGCACACATCAAGAAGGCACGACAGTTCTAACATTTCTGAAATTCAGCTGGTAATGAAAATGATTTTTTTGCAGGCATATTGCGCTATGTAAATGCTGTTTTTATTATATTATTTCGTTTGATTCTCACTGCTACCAAAATTCAGCACATATTCTTCATGCTTTAACCACTGAGAAAGGAAACATTCAAATTTGAATTATTTGAAATGAAATGGCTCGTTCTGTTTAGATTGAAATTGAAAGATCACGCAGCTCGTCATTCAACAATCAATAAGAATCATTCAATTTAACTATCCGAGAATTCTATCGTCTTGTAGCTTCACTTGTCCCCGTAAAAGATGCATTCAAATTAAAAGTATCGTGTTCATTCAATTTCGTCTGAACCAGCAGTAACGCGTTGATCGGGCATTCGTTTTCATTGATGTTCAAACGTATTTCACATTTGTTCAAGCATCTTTTAAGACATTTTTGCAAGCGTCCGTAATAAACCAACTTCTGATAGGGGGCACTGTTATAATAATTATATTTGCTCTTCATCACGATCGCACGATTTTTTCCGACAAGCCGATTACGTTTTAAAAAGTCTAGCCCGTGGCAATCTGCCATGCACTCCTGCACTCCCTCCCTCCTGGTTACGCCACTTTGTCTTGCATGTCAAAAGATCGATGGGTGAATCAGCGATAAATAAAAGGGGGGAAATACTTACAAAACAGAACGAAAAAAGAACAGTAAACAACGTTAAAGGATTTGTTCAAACTTTTAAACACTAACAAGATCAACAGTGAAAAAGAAAATCCCTTGACCTTAGCCCTTTTCATATCATTAAAATTTGTCACATTATAATTTTACAGACACAAAGATTTTGAACAATATGAACCCTTATAGAAGAAAATAGGAAAAATATCAATTAAGAAATCTTATTAATTTGAATGACCAAACGATGAAAATGACTGCTCATAAACGAATAAGAAAAGAAAAGCGTGATCACACGTCATTATGCCCAGCGACGTTCGCTTATTTGAATGCGTCAACCGTCAAAAGATGTCCAAAACGTAATGTAAGAATGCTACAAATTAAGTCTTTGAATGCGAAAACGAAATAGAATGCCCCAAAACGAAAATAAACATTGGGAACAAAATCTTGGGTGCCTAAAAATTGAAATTGAATGCCCCAACAATGAAAAAGAAACCCCAATTTGATCAGATGTGTAAAAATCACGCGAAATTGAATGGCCGATAATGACGATGATAAGAAAATTCGGAAATTGGCCGGGAAAACCTTAGTCTCTCTATGTCCAAATCTTTGACGTCATCTTTTCTATCAGTCAAGTTAAATTTCTTTCCGTTGTTGTTAAACATGATTATAATTCCCCTAAATAGGATGCTAACGCGGGTTGCAGTGTAAATAGCGACTGTGCGGACAATACGCCCCCAATTTTTTGTCGATTCAAAGATCCCCCCACCCACTTTGCTCCTGACTTGCTCCGCCCTTCCTCTCTATCTCTGGTCCAGCCTTTCACCGTCCGTAGTTGATGGCTCTGCAATTTTCTCCTCTACCTATTTTCTAGTCATCCAAATTCAGCGAAGGGAAGTATCGATTGGTTCGTTGGCCTACAAACACTAGACTTAATGAAGGTGGACAATTGCGACTAATTATAGACAGAGATGGTGGTACAACTACTGGTTGCCTTGGGTGATAAACGTGCAATTTTGTGTGAGATTGCGTGCATATTATGTTAAATTGACAAACTTCAATTTTGAAGGCACGCATATGGTGGTCAAAGTTTTTTTGAGACTTTTAATGTCCTGCATTTTAAAAAAATTCTGAGGAATTTTAAATATCGTTCAGTTTATTTGGAAATTATTTATAATGTGTTAATAAAGTAAAATTTTGTCGAGAATAGAATGCACCAAATTTCAGGCACCGTTTTCTTAACATTCTAAATTCTACTTAATTGAGCATTACCAATCAGCAATGTTGCACTCATTATTAATCGTCTGTACTTCATGCACTTATATTACTTTTTACTTCAGATTATTTTTCATTTTAAAGTACAAATCGATATTTTTTTCCGTTACTGTACCCTATATTAATTAAACCATTTATAACAGTCATCCGCACCAACAATAACATCTTAGTTATTAACGTGGAATACCAAATTGTCAATTATTAGTTCATCTCTGACATGAACATAATTATTATATTGAACAAGCAAATTTCTTTAACATCCCTCTTTAAAACAAGAGCAGCACTAGTATTTTTACAGTGAGGGTGTTTCGAATGTTATTCACCTGATGATTGCATTGCTAAACATGTACATGTCGTTGCTTTGTCGTTTGCAAAATTAATACCTTCTTTTAGATCATGTAGATTGAGAAATGGTCCAACATGCAACGCAAATTGTCATCATTAATGAACAAGCTGTAAAATGCGATCTTCATTTGCTTTAGGCCTCGTCTAAATTATTTTGAGAACCGTTCGCAAAAGAAAAACATAGTAAAGCTCCTGTTCATAATTTGCGCATGGGTCATTCCATGAATAAGGGTACCAAAGCGTGACATTGTTATATATGTTTGGATGCAAAATATTTTCTTCTTACATGACGAAAAACATGGTTTCACGTGTAAACATGGACACCGTTCCTGTTACACGTGAAATTGGTGACTTTTTGTGCCACATTTCTGTTGGTTTTCATCGAAAATATCTAAAATTCATATATGATATAAAGCAGTGAAGATACTCGTGTCTGTTATGAACATTTGGATTTTCAATGGCAGGCATAAGAAATATAGCGCAAATAAATTTCTAGTTTCATGTGGGGAAACCATGGTGTCCCCCCCCCCCCAAAAAAAATGTCCGTTACAGTGTGAAGCAAAAATCTTGTTTTTTGGCCATATATCTGTTAGCTTTCTTCGAAAATTCTTTAAATTCCATAAGCTAATAAATGACACCTATTATTCTTTAATATTCAGACATGTTTAGATGGATATATTGCACAAAACAGTGATTATTTCCTTATTAAGAGGTTGGTTTCCCCATTACACTTGAAACCAGTAACTTGTATGCACCATATAATCTTAAGTAATTCATTCAAATGTCTCAATTTCTTTTAGTATGTAGTCATACCAATTAGTTTATGAATTAAAGGAATTTCAAACTTTTTTATTGTAATCATGCAGGATATTTATGACCAAAAACGACAGTGAATTCACGTGTAATGGGGATACGAAATTTGGTGTTCCCGTTACACGTGAAGAATGTTTTTCATCATATATGAAAAAGATAAATTTGATTTTTACGATTCGTGTTTTGAGTGACAAGGACAAACCATTACCACATACTGAAACTGCAAAGATTGCAGAAAATACTTTATGTACAAAGTTATGCATATAAAATTGGTAGTAGCCTTATTTATGAAAATACCCATATTATGCATAATATCTCTATTAATAAAATAACTTGGCTTAATTGTTAAAAGTCACTAATTCATTCATAGTACATGATTATTTCTTATCTTCTTTTTAGTGCTTTTGTTGACGGACAAAAAGTCACCCCCGATTAGAATTGCATGCTTCAGTGTCCCCCCCCCCCCCCGCCACACGCACCCTATATTTCAATATATTTCAATCCCACTTAACGTACTGTGCTACATTCCGAGATGTTAAAACTGGAGAGGACACTCCAGTTTAACGTCCAGTTCTTTTTCATGAAGTTGGAGAGAATGATTTGTTTTTCATTCTTTGAAAATATAATTACGTGATAAGATCGTAATATTTCAGGTAATTGTATGTTTTTACTTATACATATTTGTTGTTTAGGGCTCCTAATTTGAATTGAGATGTCTTAGCCTCTTTTTGATGGTTGATGGGTAATCATCAAGTGATGCAAAAGAGTACTTAAATCGTCGTTCATAGAAAAAAATGTGTCATGTTGTTAAACATATTGTTAAATACCCGAGGTTGCTACGCAACAACTTTTGTTTACTTTTTGAGAACATACGTTTTCCATCAAACACTGAATTTTGTTTAAAAATATTGTTTTTATGAAAACGACAAAAGCATGTCTGCCAAATAAGTTGCTAATAATTACACAAAAACGCACGAAATTGCACGATTGTAAACAAATAAAGCATTATTGCACAAACAAAAAGGCGTTCTCAATCAAGTGGCAAGTTATTTCATTCACGGACTTGATTTATATTGTATTTTATTATATTTGTTTATTTGTTTTTTAATTATTGTTCATCAAATAACAATAATATGTCTGTCAGAGCAGAAAGTTGCTGACAATAACACAAAAATTGAACGAAACGACACCTAACCTAAGGCTTGACTGACTGAAAACAGACAAACAAAGTGTTCTTGCACAAACCTCGTCCTTTTTTGAGAACTCAAGCATATAACTCCAGTGCGTGTTGATGTCGATGTCGAGTCTCTGCCGTGGCGGTTCATTATCTATATCGATTTTTTTTTTCAAGTTCATCATTGTCGACGTCGAGGACGAATTGTGCAATGTGTTGCAATATTTCTCGACAATTCCCAATAATTAGGCCTTGGGACAATTTGTTAACAGATGCCACGTACGCGGGCTGTGCGAGTTCGTATAATAATATTGCAAGATATTGCAATGAAAGAAAAAACCAGCAATTTCTATATTGGCCTTTTATGGGGGTTTCTTCGTATTATGTAAGCACGCATTTCAGTGTGTTTTTTCTTGTTAGATAAACACGTCGCTACAGAAGACAGCTCTTGACAGCCGCTGTTCGTTTGTGTGTGTTTTTTTTTTTTTACATTTATAGGCCTATTTAAATCAGTTTCATAATTTTAATACTGTATTGTTTCTGAAGATTTAAAACAATATATACAATAAGTTGTTACACCTTCAAACTCGGATATCATTTAATATGAATCACAATGGCATGTTACAATTATTCGTCCAATCCAATACGAAGGTCATCCATTGCAACAAGTGTCACACCTTCCACAAAAGACATGAACTGGTTCCCGTTACCAGTACTTACGTCGTGATGTAAAAACCGGATGAAAAGGTACCAGGACGTTTAAGCATTCAAAATCGATAATACCAACGTATTGCAATTAATAAATGATCGATATTCTGCATAAATACTTTGGTTTCAAACACGGATTAATATACTGCTCATTCCGTGTGAAGCGAGAAATCAGAACACGCAAAGAAGAAATAGAACGAAGCGAAAGATAAGATATCATTAGAGAAAACTCTTCCTGTTTACTTCAACTTGCTACAAGCTGTACCCTATAGGATTTATAGAGGAAACTTAGGAAAAAGATGGGTAAGTGTTTTCATTAAATATATTTAAATTGTTCACTTTAATGGATGATTTCACACACAGCTGGATATACAAATTACTATTATTAATACAAAGGAATTGAATACAAAGATTTGCATCGATTTGGAATTTGCGTCAGAAATTCAGACGAAACCACGTTATTTGTAATAATAATAATAAGAGCCGTTTAACCCTAACCGCCCTGAATCCTCCAAAATCCTTTTTGCAAATTGGAGGAATTTGCAGGATTGAGGTTACATGGCCAAAGTGCGTTGCTGATTTCGGAGTACGCACTGTGTCAAGGTCTTGGGCCGGACCTTGTGTTGTTTATGCTCAGCCGTGCATACATTTAGTCCTTGATTATATTTGACATCCTCCGCACTGCTCCAGGATGTCACTGCCTCTGCCTCCGCCTATTGACAGTCATAGCCGGAGGATTTTGCAGGATTCAGGCAGTGGTCACCCCTCCATGGACCATATTCAAGAAACAACGGAGGAATTTGCAGGATTGAGGCTATATGCTATTTTTCCATGAGGCCAATTGGAGGATTTTGCAGGATTGAGGCTACATCCTAGCAAAAAGGCCTAGGGAGTTAATTAATTTCTCAAAGTCTAACGTTCCCTCATCCGTGTTTGAAAACCGTTATTTTAACACATTTTATATAACTTTAAAACACCAACGTGCCAGATAAAACAAATTTGACAAAAATGTTTTTTAGCCGCTTGTGTTAATCAATACTAGTCTTGATTCCAGGTTTCATCCAGTTATCTCTCCTGGTTCTGATCTTCACAGTCAATCTTCAGAATGGTACGTGGACCATTATTATAATCTTCATATTCCGTGTCATTAATGTTAACAACAACTCCCACTTTCACGCCAGAGAGAAGGCTCATTAATGACCATATCTTCTTTCGTGTACCCCATTTTGATGACATTGACTTTTTGGTCATCATAGGGGATGTTTTTTTTCTGAAAAGCGACCCCGCTGTTTTCATCTGTAAAATAGGGACATCCAACCAGTTGTGAAATGTTGATGGTTATTCCTCAACGAGGAATAAACGGCAGAATGTCACCGAGAATGACCAGTAGGGTATCCAGTGGGCCTTTAGAGGAATTTGTATGCCAAACTGGTGGAAAATATTACGCAGAAAATTGATAATTTTTGCAGCATGCGGGTCTTTTAGAATAACTTTTCCATCAATCTATATGTATCATTGATTAAAATTCGTGGCCAAAATCGATAGCCACAACCAAAAACTGCATCTTAAGACTGTAACCGTTTTTATTTCTCCCTTTATTTAGTATCCACTGAGAAGTGCGTGCATTGCATTCACCTAGACTTCACTCCAAGTCCTCCCCCAGGATTTCCCAACATCTACCGTAATGCACACTGCAAGAAGTACAGCCCAGCAGTCCTGGCTGCCAATAGTCACGACTGCCCGGATGATGGCAAAGACTACGTGTGTGGAGCCATAATGGGCAATTATACATTTGATGTTCCGTCTGGTAATGTGGCTGTTTAGTCTTTTGAGATGTCCTTCCCGTCCACCCATCACAATCTGTAGGATCCTGACGAATTTTCAGCTCCTATATTTTTAAATGAAAAATATACCTCTGCAACTCTCTGAAAAAAAAAACACAGGGCTTTTACAAACATGTCCAGTCTGTGAGTGGACTTATTCCAAACCTTGGATTATCGATTCTGATAAGCATGGGAACCGGGCAGACTGCAAAAAGAGAATTTGTTGGGCGTTAAATAATTCAACTTAATTTGCAGACTAATTATTCCGGCACAAAACATTAAACGTCGGCTCACTGGTTTTCTTTCGCTAGCTTTCTCAATCAAAAGTGAAAACAATTCAGAAATTCTATTTTTCGGGTGAAAAACAACACAGCTAAACAAGAACTCTTTCCTCATTGCACTATTTACTGGAAGTGAAAGGGCCAAGTTTTACCATATATTTGGACTAGTGTTAAGATACTGAATTTCTTTAGCTCTGGAGAGGAAGTGTTATTAAGAGAGAACATTATGTAATGTGATCAAGATCGAGCTCACAATGTAAGCACTCTCTCGATCACCAAACGCAAATAAGCGTTCAACACTGAAATTTTTTTTACGGAGGGGGGGGGGGGGGGGATCGGACCTACAGTTTTACTGTTTGAGAAATTAACATTGATGGTGCCAGAGGTGCCGGCCTGTTGTTCACTTTATTCATGACTGACTGAGCTGACTCACTGACTGACGTCACACGATTGTGATTTAGACGTGCTTAAATTAAGTATCATTTTGAACCAAAAGCGTGTAAACGGTTTACTCGTATAACGACAATCCACTAAATCCGGCCCAATGTGAAGGCCACTAGCAATCGGAAAAAAACACTTCTAAATTTTGAATGGATTGAATTGATTTTTTGCCCTTTGGGATATGCATCTTTCTTGCATTGTCTTCTTATTATATCATAGAGCAATCACAAACTTGTATTGTTTCTTCCCTTCATTATAGTGGGTATCACGACCGTGGATGCGATGCTGCGTCGCTGTGTAGTCCAACCACAAGGCCTAATTGACCTCGACTCAGGCAAGGCGATCTGCCTGAAGGGAAACACGCTGGATAAAGCCACCAATGATATCCAGTTGGTTGGAGCCACCGAAGAATTCGGGGACATGACCAAATTTGATGGACAGGTAGGAATATCAATTAATCCATGACGTCACACGGGTTGCTATGTCAACGACGCGTGATGGTTACACAAAATAGGAGACAGTGCACCCCCCCCCCCAAAAAAAAGATGCACTGGCATTCGATTACAAGATCAAACTTGTTTACATCAATGTTTAAAATTTGTAAAAACTTGCAAACGAATTATAAAAATAGGAAACTTTCCAACGAAAGAAAACGAAAGCGGCATAAAACTCGTAGAATTATCAGTGGCACATTCGTTGTTGCACATACCGTGACTTTTCATTGAAAAAGCGGTCAACATTGACATTATGGCCAACTTCTCCGGAAAGTTGCTCAGTCTTAAGATAAATTCTCATAATTATTTTTGTCGCCCTGTAGGTTTGCTACTGTAGCGGTCATAACTGCAACACAGCCAGCACGATCGGACACAATGCCTACTTAGTCAGCATCCTGGTGGCAACAATCGCCGCTGCATTGAACATGTATTAGACGACGTTGGTGGCGCTGTTGTTCAATGATCCACAAAAGGTTCAAGGCAACCGTACGGCAGTTGCAACGCAAGTAACCGTTGCACTACTAGGAGTGACTACATTCTGGACACATTATGGCTTTTCGTATGTCAGTTCATAGGACAACTCAATAGAAAACACGCTGGATTATGTATTCACGATCGAATACATGAATTTTTTTTCCCCCTGATAAAAGTTATTGCAACTTTCTCTTACAAAACGTCTTATGACCGTGAGACTTTAAAAAATTGTCTTTATTTTTGTCCCAAAATTTGAACATTCAAATTCCAGGAATAGGATCATGACTTTCTCGTTCAAGTGTTCGATTCATACTAAGGAAGTAATAGGGTACGGACGTGGATGTTAATTTTAAAAATCTTGTAAAAAATAAAATAAGGAATATCACCAAGCTATATTTCAGTTAGATGACATAATCACCATATATTTTCTTTCCCTTTTAATTTTTGAGTTCTTTTAATTTTAAATCAATTGGCTAGATTCGGGGAGTTGATCATCATAACAAATTCCAGTGACTTGAAGAATTGCTTCTGTCTCAATACAATCATGTTCAATGACAAAAATTGTTCTTCAACTGACCTCGATTAATGTATTATTGGGACTAGTTTGTTTATAGTCAAAGTAAGAATAACGCGTATATTGTACTAACAATGGTGGAGGAGATAACGGAAAGGACAATCAGTGTGACAACAAAACTCAGTGCAATAATCAGTCAATCTAATCTGTAATTCTGCATCACTGTACTTATTTTCAGTTAGTTGGTTTGATATGATTGCCATTGTCAGTCAATTTCCTTGCACGGTAAGATTTTGGGCCAAGAGTTTCATTCTAAATAATTTATTTGTCAGTTCGTATCTTTTTTCTTTTGTAAAATAAACTGGATCAATTTTGCTTGGGGAAACAGAAAAACGGTATATCATTGTAATTATCATCGGCTCAACCTTGATAATTTCGTCTTCAAGTTCGGCTTCAGGACTCAGGAGATTTTTGGACCTTTTCGGGAGCTGATTTTGGCTCAAAATCGGTTCCTGTTCTGCTTCAGGAACGCAGCTAAAATTTAGAGTATTTTCGTTCACTTTAGACATAAAAAAGGCTTAAACATGTGACATACACACTTCCGTTAAAAAAAATGGCCCGCGATAGGAGGTTGCACATAGTTTACCCTGTACATCCATCAGCCAGCTACCTTATAATCCAAACACCTCCGTCAAACTTTTACAAAACTCCTGGCGTCGGTTTTTTGTGTACTTTACCACGCCCCCAGCCACGCCCTAGGCCACGCCCTAGGCCACACCCAAACCAAACATCACCCCATTCATCCATTTTTTTAAGGCTATTATGCTTTATGCATCTTAATAGGTCAATGTGGGACATCTATATTAACATTTATGAGTTTTTTGTTTGTTTTAACTGTGGAAATACCGTATGTATTGATAAAATATCAATAAACAAACAACATAAATAATCAAAAAAATTCCCAACCCTGAGAAGGCGTCATAGTTCATATTCTTCAAAAGTATGGCCTCCTTGATAAGAAATATCCCCCCCCCTAAAAACAAAAAAAACCTAATGTCATGGTGCGCTGCGGACTACTTAGACCCAAACCGCTGGAGATGAGGCCGTGGTTTGAAAACTCTCAAAGTACGGGACCGCTCTGCAGTATGTACTGCCCTCTATCGACGACTAATCTTAACAATCCAAGATGGCAGCCTGCATGAACGATTTAACAACGCAAAGAGCTGCTGAAGAAACAGTTGCAAACGAAGAAATAACGAAAGTTTGTGAATTGTAAGGAACAGTTTTTAAAACTTAACATTGTCTTTTACCATTGGCATTTATTTACGGCACTAACATAACACTTAAACAAGGATTTTAGGGAACATCTTTTCGAGGTTAAGTATGCGCATGGTGGGTAGGAAGCTCGCACAGACTAGAGAGCGCCCTCACCTGCTCACAGTACACGCTGTATGTCACATACAGCATGTACTGTGAGCAGGTGATGTGTCTTCCTATACCTCTTTAATCGATACGCCTGATACTGAGTGTACGTTTTCAAAACAAACTTGTACTTTCAGTTATCCTTACCTTTTTACCCCGTTCCTATATAAGGTAATAAAAGACTCACCAAAACAGCTGACTAAATGACACTCAAAAGGGACATTCTGATAATTCTTGACACGTTTGAACAGTTAACTTTAGTTTAAGTTTAACTTTAACTTATTTAACTTTATTTCCAATTCCAAACAAGAAAATGAACAAAATATATACAGAGAGTATGGATAACATTGTAAATAATTATGTAGTGAAAAAAATTCAATAATTAGACGGACAATTAAGTATGGAAATGGAGGGGGTCCATAAGAAGTACAGCTTGTCGAGTATGGGCGCCCTAAATTAAGGGATTTAGAAGGGACCCAAGCTACACCCAACACAATAGGATGAACATAGACATAACTAAATGTAACATATTCAGATAAACAATAGACTGACAATAGAGAAATATGAATGCATAAACTTAAAATAATAGACACAATGATATACAGGTGAATCAATAAAGGAACTATATAAAACATAATGACAAGGCATTAAACAAGAAGTCAAAATAGGTATCATAGAATCAGGTAAGTGTAATGAGCAGGTAAATCAAACGACTTGAAAATAGTAATGAACGGGTAAATGTGAATGAGGAAATAGATTTAGTCGAGATACAAACAGGCAAGTAAAAAATAATAGGGTGTAAGTGAGGAAAGCCAAGGATTAAGAACATAATGGCATTAAGACACATTGTAGTTATTAAGAATATGACGGTTGAACTTACTTTTAAAATGACTGAGGAAACAAACAATATGAATGGATCCATCTACAGAATTCCAGAGTTTAGGACCTGCAGTTGGCAATGACACCGTCTTGAATATCAGCAGGTTTAATTTTGTGGAATGAGGATCAGGGCCTTGATATATGAGGGAAATTAAGGGGTAAAAAACGAGGATGAGGAAAAACAGACACAAAAAACAAGATGGCAAACTGCAAAAAAGGTAGGAAACTAGGAAAGTCACATTTTCTTTGAAAGTGCTTTCAAAATTACAACTAACATGAGTTTATCTGAAGAAAAAAGTCACTTTGGTACTGGACATTCATCTGCAAAAGTCAGTTTTGAACAGATGTCTAATCCGACCGTACCTGCCACAGTGCTCCGTGGTGGGCCATGCATAGACTTGTTACTGCATTTCCATCATGACATCTTTGGCCCTTTGGCGGCGTGGCGGGAACCAGTCATCGCTGCCCTGAGCATTTCGCACGTGCTACATGTTTTCATATCGTCACCGCGACATTGAATTGCGAAATAGTTATTGCGAAGCAAATTGTAAAAACAACAGAGGTTTCTTCAAAGAACATAGCGAATATAAGTAGGCAAACAAATAAATACAAACATTTTGAGGCAAAATGGTTGTTGAGACGTACATGTGAAGACAGAAAAGACAACAGGATTTCTTTTAATTTGTTGTTTCATTTATAATTATATATTTTTTTGACTTGCCGATAACATTTTTAAGGTCACAGCCTAAAAATACATGTAGGGTCGGTCGGGTAACCGAAAGCAGAACTATTTTTTTTATTGGCCTAACTTTAAAGCAATAGCCAATGAAATATCCAGATGTGTAATGTAGAGTTCAATTGGGCAGGTCCCCTAACATTGCATTCTTTGGTGTTGTTCATCACTCAAACCCAACCCATTTTGGTTAATGTACATCAAAATAAACAGAGTGAATTTTGCCTGGTTTAAGATATCTTGTCTTTACGTTGATGGATTGTTCCTTAGATTTGCAAAGTTACAGGGAAGATGTTGAATTTTCAACTTACTTGTTTTCTCCATCAAACCTATCCCAGAAACTTACCATAAAATGCTCTCTGTTTTATTAGCTGTCATCAATACTGATTGGCCTAATAATAATGTGTCTAAATGTCTTGAAGATTTATTTTCATCTTTTTTCTAGATGTCTCAAGGAGTCCTCCAAATACAAATGTCCTCGTTGCGGCATATTCTACTGCTCCCTGTCATGTTATCGGGGTGGGAAGCATGCCGGTTGCTCAGAAAAGTTTTACAAAAACAACTTCATGGAGGTGATGAAAAACAAAAAGGGGAGGTATGTCATATTCTTACTAAGGATGTGATTTTGCATTTAATTTTGTAAACGTTTAGCTTAAACATTTCAATGTTCTAATTAATGTTAAACCATTTCACAAGTATTTAACCATTTCACGAATACATGTTTGTCTGCAATCATAGACGGGCATGATTGGCATAATAGATCAACAATGATTGACATAATAAATAGCAGGCACTCTAGCTATCATTGAAAACTTAACAATTTAACCACATTTATTCCCCGAATGTAATCAAGTTTTGCAGTGCTTCTAAGGTTTTGTGAAGCAATAGGTTTGAAAACATCAATTGATATTTGTGTTATGTTTGTTTAACTGAAAGGAAGATCGCGTGAATGAAGCCTCTCCCTTTTTTATAATTCAGGTTTCGTTTAAACAATTTGGACGATTTGTAAACGGATAAAGAATTTCGTTTAATTGAAATGTTTAAACATGTAAATGTCACATCAGACTTCTTACAAGTGAAATGCACTCACCACCTTCATTAGGTCATTGCTGATATCAAGTGAATTTTATGAAAGCAAATTGATTATTTAAGTACTTGTTTCCTTAAAATCTGTGTTGTAGTCCAGCCCATCACAAGTCCATCACAATTCCTTCAGTCTCAAGTCACAAGCTATTGAAATGAACCGTGAATCAAGCATTCCTTTGTTGTTGTTTATCCCCTGTGATTTGTGACTAGACTTGTGATTGACTTGTGACGGACTTAACTACTACATTTACATTGATTATAATGTAATCAAACAATGAGTTTCTTTTCACTGATAGTACATGTAGTTGCATTAATATAGTGCACGTACAATAATTATATGCAAGTGAATACCAAAAACTACTCAATTATCAAAATTTATTCAAACAATCCTATGTTTCAGTGAAGAAGATCGTAAGAAGATGCTTGAGATTCTACAGAGAGTTGATGCTGAATACAAACCTCTGTTTGATGAGGAAGGGGCGGAGATTAATGAAGAAGAGGAGGAGGAGGATGAAGCTACTGAGACATTGGCAGAGAGAATGGCAGGACTAGATCTAGGTACTAGGATCGGTTAAAATAACAGCAATATTTTGCATGACTGAATTTTCTGTTGGGAAGAGTATACAGTGATAATGAAATTCGTATAGTGAAGGGCATAACCCAGTATTGAATTATAATAGCAACTGAAAACACAGCATATTTCCCGTGGATACAAAGCACTAAATCTGTAGAATCTTCCCTCCCAATCCTGTCTTACCTACCCTCTTGCCTAACTACCTCCCTGCTAATACCTCCCTGCTTATTACCAGTCTGCTTACCTCCCTGCTTACCAGCCTGCTTATCTCCCTGCTCACCTCCCTGCTTACCAGACTGCTTACCTCCCTGCTTACCTCCGTGCTTAATACCTCCCTGCTTACCGCCTACTTACTGGCCTGCTTATCTCCCTGCTCACCTCCCTGCTTACCAGACTGCTCACCTCCCTGCTTACCTCCCTGCTATTACTAGCCTGCTTACCAGACTGCTTACCTCCCTGCTTACCGCCCTACTTACCAGTCTGCTTACCTCCCTGCTTACCTCCCTGCTTACCTCCCTACTTATCAGTCTGCTTACCTCCCTGCTTACCAGTCTGCTTCCGTTTCTGCTTGTTCCCTTGCCTGATTGGCTACCTCTCTCTGTACCCTGTTTGCTGACCCACATTCCTGCCTACAACCCTTACTCCATTGGGCATGGATATCTCTGTCTCACAATCAATTAGATTATTTCTCCACTTTTTGTGAGGATTCAATTCCCAGTAATGATTCCCCAAAGAATATATTCCATGCACTTCAAAACAAAGTCTATGTTAATGGTCTATTTTGAGACATGCATTACAATGGTGATTTAGTCAGTATTTGTCATAAGTGTAATTACTGAGGATTTTCCCTTACATTTGTTGATGAGTAAATTTAGAATCAATTCTGAATAGAATCAGAATTCCTGGGTGGGACTGAAATCTTTTCTCAATTTGAAGGAGGTACCCAAGTCTATTCTCCTGACCCACCTCCTGCACTGATTACCTACCTCCCTGCCTCCCACTTGCCTATTTGCCTATCTGCTTTCCCAGTCTTGACTTGTCCGCCTCCCTGCCCACCAGCCTTCCTCCAGACTTACCTAGATGTCATCGGGTGCACCATAAAGTGACACATCGTCTTTGGACTTTGTGCTCATGATACGTCACTTCGTGGTGCAACTGACGATGTATTCCCTATCCTGATTACCACTCTGCCATTCCACATCCCCTTGCCTCCTCCCCAGCCACCGACTTCATCATCTGTCATTTTGACTTTGACAGTCCTTTCTTATTTGCTGTATATTCTTGGACAGACAAGGATACCGATCTGATCTGGGAGCGACTGACTGAGAGAGAGAAGAGAGAGTTTGAGTCAGTGTTGCATGCAGGCAGACTGGGCAACTTAGTGCCCATCTGGAAGGCATGGTGGGAACAACATGTAAGTCATCAGAATCAAACATGAATATACGTCTCTGTCAATACAGTGTGATGCACAGTTCCATTCAAGTAACTCTATGAAAGGGTTACTGTACAGATTGAGCTTGAAATTGATTCCCTTAATTTGAAGGAATTAAAACAGTGTGTATCGTTTCGGTTTGCGGTAACACCATGTGGTAATAACTACTGCTTAGAAGATATTAGTTCTGAGAAGAACTTGTCCTGCTTATTATCAACTTTGCTAAGTAGTTTTTTGTTCTGGTTAGAACAGTCCTGCTGTAAGTTCTAAAAGAACTTGTCTTTGGTCTCAACGTTTCGACTAGCCTGCTCTAGTCATCGTCAGGAGACTGAAGATAGTTGGAGATGCTACTCCTTAAGTAGGATTTGTCAGGATTGGGAGTGCTTGCTGGGCATGCCCTGCTCGCTCGGGTGTGTCAGTTGGTTGTGAGCCATGGGCATTGTGTTGAGGGATGCCCGCTGAGCGTGCTCTGATATTTAACCAAAATATCGGCTTGTCAGTTATGGTGGACACCAATTTGAGCTTTTATTATCAACTCACAGTGCACAATAAGTCAAGTAGTTATTCTAAGCTGAATTTCAGATACGAATGCTGAAAATACTTGTTGCCAACTTTCTCCATTTATCATTATTGCGATTTGTCTTATAAAATGTTAAATGTAAGTAGAGCTTGTGCTCATAGGAAACAACTCAATCTTTCTGGAGACACTGCTGTCCACCAGCAGAATGCAGTATATAATTCATGTTATCGTTTGCTCATCTTTATATTTTTTTTCCTGAAATAGGACCAAAGCTTAGTCAAAGAAATCGGAATTGACCCATCACCCCCCACTCCACCTCAGTCAACTCCGCCCCCAGAAAAGCCCAAAGAACCATCATATGCTGATGAGATTGAAGTAGATTTGGCCAAAATGGCCAAAGATTTGGGTTTGAATGATGAAGAAACGACTGAAGAAGAGATTTCGAGGGAATTATCGACTACATGCGATTGTCCTCCTATTCTCAAGACGATTCCCAAATTGAGTGATTTGCTACGAAACAAGAAACCATCAGAGTGTGTGATGTACAATCTACTGAATCTCCTGTATCCTTTACTTTATTTAATCGTTCTATGTATTTTATATTTCAACAGTGATTAAATTTTTCTAAGATTTCAACAACAAATGAACAATGCCAGACATTCATCACAGATGACCATCTTGCTGAAAAGAGAAAAAGCAGTGTCTTACATTTCATAAACCCCTCACTTGTGGATTTTTTTCATAGCAATATTAGTTTGGAGCAGAGTCAATAATAACGTGTGGCGCTTCAGAAATCTTGCAGAACTTCACCAAAACAATTCTCATTTCAGCCACAAGATGGTTCTGTATGCACAGAGATAATAAGCTGTTGCATTAAAATATGAGCGATAAAGAAACCTCTTCACAACTTGTTGTTTTTCTGAAGTAATCTGATCAGCTACAGCTATGCATGTGTAGTCAGATTCTACAATGGAACACACAACGACTTACCAGTACAAGTGGCTCAGGTACAATGTTGTATTTGGGGTGTACATATACATGTCCCAATTACTGTTGGAATTAAAGGAATTCTATTAAATTTAGGCACAGGGATTTGTTATCATTTATAACTGAAAGGAAGTACACCTCTCCAAACTTGAGACATTTTTTACGTAGAATACTTCTGTTTGATGAGTTTGAATGGGTGTGTCCAAGTTGGACTGAGCAAGATCAAGTGGTCACAAGTTGAATGCATTATTTGGGGCCGGATAACTTACTTGTTGGACCTCTTGCTTGCCTGTTCTGCCTCATTTTAATTTTTGCAGGTTCTTTAAGTCATAACGGCTGAAGATTGTTTTGGTATTTCCTTTACTATCATCATTTACCTCAATTTTTTGTCCATCTACAATTGGTAGTCTATGAGAAAATTATTGTATATAATTAATTGGCAACAGTGCACTCATGTTGGTGACGATGACAAACCATGTCAATTCATGACTTTAATCACACTGAATGGTATAATAATTCAGGTAATGCATAGTGTTAAAGGGAATATACATCATTTGCTTTTGCTGTAATTTTCAGAAATGGATGGAATTGGGGGGTTGAAAATATAAAGCAAATATAGTTGCACTGACTTTTTGGAGGTTTTGGGTTCGAAAATGCTATAAAAACCAAGAAAAACGATCATTTTCCTGTAGTCTGGTTCCCTGACTCCATATAAGAAGAAACAGAGCAGTTTACATACATTGGGGAATTGTAAGGTCAGGGAACCAGTCTAGCTGGCTCGTACCCGTTCATAGGTTTGTAATCGATTGCAAACAAGTACAATGGTCAATTGGGGCCAGTATTTGAAAAAAAGCCAGTTGTTTCCAACGCTGATCGGCCGATCAGCGTTGGAAATTGATACAAAAATACCACTTTTCTTGAAAATGACAGTATACCAGGTGCCATAATTTTACAGGATGCTTTAGACTGTCATTTACCAACATCCTATTAAGGTATTTCGCAAAAACTTGGTAGTTTTATTTTTCGATGTTTGCAAATGTTGTATATTCCCTTTAAGACCACCCAACTATGAAGGTAAATTCCTTGTATCTTTCCACAGAACCTACTTGAAGTGTCTGCCACACTGAGTGACAATGCAAACTACAATGCAATGGAAGAATCCCTGGCAAGTGCACTACACAATGCATCAAAGGTGGGCATACAGTGTGTAGTTTTATTGCTATGCAAAACAGCATTTTCATCCTTGCTTGAGTAATGGACTCCGTGCTCCTCCCCCCAATTCAGTTCCAAATAAGTTAGACTGGAGTCTTGAACACATTGTCACCGTTTGACTGATGCTCACAGAGCAAAGACTTTGTGTGCGCATTTAGGATTCAATCAATCACTGTTACTTTGCACCATACGCATGCTAATGAGTGTACAGACACAATGTGTCCCTCCACTGAGAGTGGTCACACGCTGGGAGTCTATAGCAGAACAGTTCAGATCCCATACAGTTCTAATATCATGCGCAGTTGGGAGTTTCATTTATAGAATTTGCCAACCACCCTAAAATGTAAGTGACCCGGCATACTCGGGAAGGGTTTGTTGTATACATGGTATACTTAAAAAGGTTATGGCCTGAACAAAAATGGAACCTCTTTATGTTTTAAACCCAAGAGATACATCAATGGTAACTACAATCACTGTTATTTTGTATGCGTATAAAACACACCACCTATTGTTAGAATATGCACTTGTAGTGCAGTCATATTTGAAAGTAACAGGTGTTTAACAAAGCCTTGTAATATTTGTCCGTGTTTTCATTCTTTTTCTAGTCGCTGTCAACTAGCAACACATTTTCCACCTCCATTCTTCAAGACGTGGTCCACATTCTCCTCGGAGCAGCATCTGATGCACCAATCAGTTACATCCAATCAGCATTATCAGACTTACATCAATTATTGGGAGCAGCAAGAAAACAGCTAGTCAAAAGTAAGCGTATAAGGATTTTTCACGTTAGTAATTCTGTTAGCAATACAAGACAGCTGTTTCATGTTTGTAATTCTTTAAATAATAGCAGGTAGCTATTTCATGTTTAATTAACCTGTAAGAAGCAGCATCTGATGCATCGATCCTTTATGTCCAACTACCTGCCAGAAAAAAAAAACTTGTCCAAGGTATGTAAGTAGATGGCTATTTAATGTTTGTAATAGTCCAAGGAATATCTGGCGGCTATTTTATGTTCATCTTAATCGGGAAGTAAGATCTGATGTTCCCAACACCTGCTTTCTCATCAATTGTTTGGAGCAGCCAAAGTGGTTTAGAGGTTTGCATTGTCTAAGATGAACTCTTCATAATTTGTTTCCATAGAATCCAAGAAGTCCCCAATGAACGGGGATGCACAAGACCCCAAGCAATCGACGGCTGGTCCATCAGAGACCAAGTCACTGCTTCCAAAGAGTTGCTTCAATTGTCAGAAGAAACTAGAATTCTTTCTGGCTTGGTTAACAGACAATCAAGACAAACCTAGAATCCTGCTGCTTGAAGTGGACGCCATGTACAGTAAGTGACCTGCTTATCTAGGATTGAGTTGATGATACAAGACTCAACAAACATGGCATGTGTTCAATTACAAACACTCAGAGAATTGTTTGGAGTTCAAGTATGGTCAGTGTATACTGACATAGCAAATAATTTTCATTGCGTTAATTTTCATCACATTTGTTTCCATCCATTTTTTTCTAAAGCTTTGAAATTGAGAAAACTGAAAAGTTCCAGAATTCAAACATGCAAAATTATGATTTTTTTTTTCAAATTAAGAAAGCATCTTGTTTGTAAATCTTTTATCAAGAGATTTCATCCTCCTTGGATGACAAACTATTTTTTTCTAAAGTGGCTTTTATGACTTTGTTTTTTTAGGATCAAGAAGATTGTTGGATGAGCAGCACAGTGCAACCAAGTCAACTCTTGAGAAGCAATGGGGCGGAACAAAACCACCGGCAAAAACAAAAGCAAAACACACGCTCATTGAGGAACTCAGCTGAATGGTTCTTCTATAATCATACTGATATTTCTAATGCGCAAAATGCCTAACAAATCCTCTATAGGAGTTGGAATTGTTTCCTGCCAGAAACTTGATGTCATGGTTTGTAGTGAGCTAGACTCAGCCTACCCAGTCAATGAACAGAAATCTTAAAATTGGAGATCGTAATAGAGGCGTATCTAGATGGATCTAGTCAGCAAACTGGGGCTGTGTGAAGCTTTGATGGCTTCTGTATCTCAGATGGGAATCAAGATAGAAAACAATCATCTCTACATGCTGCTAGTATGCAATGAGCAGAAACATGATATAATGGCTTTTTGAAAGCATCTTTTTTCCTGTCTTGGCCGTTTCATCAGTTACAATTTGCAAGGCTTTCTGGCAAAATGAGACGGAACTGGGCACATGCCACAGTGGAGAAAAAGGGAAAAAAACAAATACGGCGATTTGTTTCAATTTTCAGATTTATTGATATTTATTGATAGTATAAGAATTGTGAAATTTTTTTTTTTTATAGGGAAAAACCAAAAGGCATCTTTCTTTTTTCATGAATACAAAACTCGAAACATTCAAGGCCTTTTTCTCAGTATTTTACTTTTTTGACGGGTCGATAAATTCAAATTTTCAGCAGTCGTAACTTGTCAACAGAATGTCCATTTAAAATGTACAGCAAACATTTTGTTGTGTCCTAATACCCACAAATCCTCATTTCCACCTCTGCCTACTTCCATCTCATTTTGCCAGAATGCCTCATATTTCATTTATTCGCTTCACGCCAGATTATCTTTGTGTTTCTTTTTCTTCTCTTTTTTATTTTCACTTTGACCACTAGTTTTTAGTGGTAAACAATGTAGGCATTAACATGCAGTTCGGTTCGGAATGTCAAGTATTCAGCAGTTTGAATACAAAGCTGTCCTCAAAGACTCTCCATTATGTCATTGCACTCATTTGGAGGTGTACAGTTGAATATATATACATGTAGAATTTTTACAGGGCCAGAATTGAGATCGATTTTTGTGGAAAAGAAAAAGAACTCATTTTGAGACAAAATAGACATTCGTTGTTTTCTTCAAACAATTCAAATTCATATTTATTTTTCTATTTAGTATGTCTTTACAAATTTTAAGTATTCTGAACGTCAGACTTTTTGCCAGTTTTCTAATTTCTTAAATGAATGACAAATGAAGAGCCTCTCCACGAAAATGAGTCGGATTGATAATTGGCGACGAGAATTTTTTACTTCTCATGAATGCCATTTCAAATTGAAAAACACTATACAAAGTCTTGTGTGGTTTGGAGTTCCTCATTTTTTCCTAAATTCCTAGTTGCATGGTTGGAAATAGCATGGGTAAATGGAAATAGCATGGGTAAATAACCTTCCCAATTTTGCCTTTTCGCTACTTATTTACTTCTGGTGATATGTTCTGTTTTATAGTTTGGTACAAAAACAATCAATTAATGCAAGATGCTATAAAAGCAGATTTAGTTTGAAACTTCACTTCTATATTAGAAATCTAAGACTTTAATATCTGGGAAATCAACAAGTTCTTCCTGGGGTCAGACACCAACTGCAAATTTATGATTCTGGTTCATTTCCACAGAGGCACAACTGAACTTAAATAATGACCTATGTAAATAAGGGTCATGGAGCATGGTCAGAAGCAAACCCGGTAAGAAATAAATATTTACAATTTCAGCATCACTATTCTTATTCTACCACACAATCTTTGCAAATCAGGTTATAGTTTTTATTGCATATACATTTGTTACACTGACTTTTGGGCTTCTTCAGAACAACAAACATGTTCCAATTTTTTCACAAGGTACTCCATGCTGGATCTGTAGATGACACTCTGTGACCTATGATACCCAGGCTAGAGTATATCACAAGTCCATATTCAGTGTGGTGCACAACTAGTAAACAATTGAAAATATTTAATGTGCACAAACGTTTAGCCTTTTGAGGTAAGAGGAGCACTCCTAAGCATGGGTGCACACAGTATAGTTTACATTATCATCACTGAGAGGTGAAGTTATGCACAGAATCCATACAAGAATGTGACATTGATTGGAGGAGATCAAGTTTAAAAAGGCAAAAGAAAAAGAGTGGTGAGAAATGGTTTTGTTGATTTAATCATCCTAGTTTGATTCAATAATGGCAACATCAGATTATAAATGGTTTAATTTTGCCATAGATGGCCGTGTAATAACTCTGGTGATGCTGAACTCTGGTGATGGTTTGTGCCGTGTTGCAAATAGCAACCCCCCAAAAAATACTTCTTCCGATGCTGTAGCTAACGATCAATCTCTCCAAACACAACATCCAAAGTTCCTGTAAAAAAAAACCCAGCAGGATACAGTTTGATAAGTGAAACAGGATTGAACCTTTCTCTTCAATAAACAAGAATTAATTTTGTCCTGTATTGATGAATTATAAGCAAAGCAACTTCAGTACTTTCTGACTGCTTGGCAGAGAGAAATACAACAATGTCAGATGCTTGCCCAAACCCACAACCACCATCGTCCTAATTTGTGACTCCGTGATGTCATGACAAGTACTCTCACTCTGCGAATTCGCAGATATTGAACACACTACAGTGATTTTACCACCAATGATGTTTGTGACGTCATGTGTGATCTGCATTTGTGCTCACAAAGTTATGCTATAATGTGTTTCTTTTTTTCCTTAGTTTGAGTGCCAATTAAACCGTTTATGAAATTATAACATACCCAGTTGCATTGTTCCATTGCGCCTGAATGAGATCTACACATTCTCCAACCTGATTTTTAAATGACTAAACTCACCAATAATAGCTACTGCATCAGCCAGCATGTGTACCTTAGACACCATGTCCAGTCCCGCAAGATGAGCAAAACCTGGAGCTTTGATCTTACAACGGTACGGTCGACTGGATCCATTGGAGACCAAATACACACCAAACTCACCCTAATAGGGTTTAAAAAAAAATGATGTCGGCTACTTGATGTTCCAATAGACTATTCCAGATTTGGCCATAAGCCCCGCCCACCTTTGGTTTGGGTACATTTCTCACAGGTACTGAGTTTGACTGAGTTACCTTGGTCACCTGACCAACAGTCCTGATCTGATTGGTCAATGTTCAGTGTTTGATTGACAGGCTAGGAAGGGTACATAGTATGGTCAGCTACTTCCATAGTTTGAATCATTGTCGGGTGCCATTCTGAAGTGCTTTGAAAGGAGTATTTTCAAAGACCTGTAATTCAGCACCTTGTTTGTTATTCCAAAGTTTAATTACCATGGCAACCATGGAAAGAATGCCACGAACTCAACACTTTGGGAAATCAAAGTTTGACCTTTAACCTTTTCTGGGCATTTACTTGAGGAATTTTTGCTATGTGACCACTAGAGGGCCAGGGTGATGCACAGATCTATCAGCTTACCTTAGGTGCTTCAATCGCTGTGTATGTAGCCCCCGGCGGTACCTGATAGCCCTCTGTGTACAGCTTGAAATGAGGCCAATAGTGACTATGTGACCACTAGAGGGCCAGGGTGATGCACAGATCTATTAGCTTACCTTAGGTGCTTCAATCGCTGTGTATGTAGCCCCCGGCAGTACCTGATAGCCCTCTGTGTACAGCTTGAAATGAGGCCAATAGTTACTATGTGACCACTAGAGGGCCAGGGTGATGCACAGATCTATTAGCTTACCTTAGGTGCTTCAATCGCTGTGTATGTAGCCCCCGGCGGTACCTGATAGCCCTCTGTGTACAGCTTGAAATGAGGCCAATAGTTACTATGTGACCACTAGAGGGCCAGGGTGATGCACAGATCTATCAGCTTACCTTAGGTGCTTCAATCGCTGTGTATGTAGCCTCCGGTGGTACCTGATAGCCCTCTGTGTACAGCTTGAAACGAGGCCAATAGTTACTATGTGACCACTAGAGGGCCAGGGTGATGCACAGATCTATTAGCTTACCTTAGGTGCTTCAATCGCTGTGTATGTAGCCCCCAGCGGTACCTGATAGCCCTCTGTGTCCAGCTTGAAATGAGGCCAATAGTTACTATGTGACCACTAGAGGGCCAGGGTGATGCACAGATCTATTAGCTTACCTTAGGTGCTTCAATCGCTGTGTATGTAGCCCCCGGTGGTACCTGATAGCCCTCTGTGTACAACTTGAAATGATGAATCAGAGCTTCCATAGATTCCTGCAAGAAAATGGAATCAAACGGTAGTTATTGATGGACCCAAATTGACAATGATGAGTATAACAGACCCATCCATGGTGCCCCGTCTATGGCACAGGTAGGTAACAACATACAATGCACACCTGTCCGCGCTGCATGTTCCAGTCATGCACCCCATATGTACAAGCACACTGGTGCCCCATCTATGGCACAGGTAGATAACAACATACAATGTACACCTGTCTCGTACCAAAATTAGATCGTAAGCAAGATGGCGACATGCACGTCGCTTTGTTTGGCTCTCCGAATTTTGATTTGTTTTTCGTCAATTTGGCTTGAGCCAGAAGCCCATATTGGTACCATTGGTCATCAGAACACTCTGGATCATGTTGGCTCGACTCTGATTGAAATCAGTAGCAGGATTCATCTAGATCTGTCTGATTTCATGCTGCAAGGTCTTGGATGTGGATTTCAACCACCGACCACAGGTGGGTCTCGGACTATGGTCACTGGAGGCGGGAATTTCAAACGTGATTTTCGCTCTCGTGGGATCTCCTGCATTTTGATCTACACTCTGATTGCCTGTGGTGATATTGAACTAAATCCTGGTCCTGACATCGGGCCTAATCACGGTATTTATTTCCGCGATCGGCCAAATCATAAAAACATATCCTGTATCCTAGGCATTGCACGTAGTCTTCGCAACAAAGGACCCGAACTGCTGGCCAATTTGCATCTGAATCAGCTCCCAGATATTCTATTCTTCACAGAAACCTGGCTCACCCCTCACGACAATGACTCCATTATTGGTCTACCTGACGATTACGTAATTCTGCGACGAGATCGTTGCCACGGACGCCGTGGTGGCGGTGGTCTTTGGTGCATTCAATGCCTCTCTGTCACCATGTAGGCTGGGCAATCTTGAGCAGGACGATATGGAACTCATGTGGGCATCTGTGGAGTTTGCAAGTGAATCCTGGCTAGTAGGCTTAATCTACCGTCCGCCGTCGTCAACTGCTTCTTACTGGCCGAAGCTCAGAGATGTTCTTCAACATGTAAATATGGACGATTTTGACGGATGCCTCGTTTTGGGCGACTTTAATGTTGATTTTAAGTCATCTGAAAGATCGAGTCCCCATCGCACTAGACTGTTGGAGATTTCGTCTGACTTCTCTCTTGAACAACTTGTCACCTCTGTTACACATCCTACTCATCCCGACAATTTATCTGTTGGATCCACTATGAGACCTGGTGTTCTCCAATCGCCCTGACCGCTTTGCTTCCATCTCTACCGGCCTGAGTCTCATCACATCTGACACCCTGGCTGTACACATTGTGTTTCGCTTCAATAAACCTCCACCTAGACCAGCTCTTCTGCGTTCTTTTTTACAGTTTCACCGTGGGGATTTTGGGCACCTTGGTACACTAATCCACCTCATACCCTGGTCTGCATTCTTGGACCCATCTGATCCCAACTCATCATGTGAAACTTTTATGGATCTTCTTGACGCCGCAGAACGGGACTCCTTCCACAACAAGGCGTAAGACCAGATTTACACCTTGGATCACCACGGAACTAAAACAAACTCATCAACAAAAAGCATAAGCTCTTTAGATTTGCTCGTAGATCTGGTTTGTTAAGGGACTGGCAATTGTACAAAATCACTCGTAATATGGTTAAGAGTCAAACTCAGAAAGCTTATTGGAAATATATAAATGACATGTTTTCCTCACTTGCTAACAGGCGAAGGTTTTGGTCTTTTGTCCGTAGTCGTAAATAATCCCCGCCACCTCCTGTATTCACTCATAACAATGTTAAATTATCTCAACCTGGTGTTATTTCATCCGCTTTACATACATACTTTTCCTCTGTGTTTAACCCTGATGGTCTGGTTCCCAATGACCCATCTCCTTGTTCACTACCATTACCTGGTCTTTCAGAACTGTATGTGCCTGTAGGTAAGATTAATTCTATTATACGTAATCTACCAACCAACAAATCTCCAGGCCCCGGATGACATTATTCCTGGTATATTAAAGACGATTTGAAGTAGAGGGCGCTGTGTCGGAGCTAGACGACTTTTATTTCGCGGGAGATTTTTAGCTTTTTAATCCTTGATTTTTCGCGTTTCCTTTGGCCATCCAGGCCTTTTAACCCATTTTTATCGCTTTTGATGTTTTTAAGGATCTGCTTATTGGTTTATTGTTCGTCGTTCGTGTGAATTTTCGTCAAATTTCGTCATTTTTAGTCAACTGTGTAATTGAATCTTGAAGTCGGCCATTTAAAAAAAAAAAAATGTGCAATTTATAGACCGACATCGAAGTTTGTGCTTGGACTTCCTACTACCGCTTCTGCAGCTTTTGACTTGGATTAAACCACCATGGAGTTCACCATTACTTATTTTGTGATTGGATTCCTGCTTACTTTCTTACGTATTAGTAATGGGATCTGCAAAACTGTAAGTACAACCATAGACCCAAGGCTGACAGAATGTGATCACGACATTGGCACAACAAGCACCAGTTATTTTGCAACTGCGTTACTGCCTCGTAGACAATCTATCAAAACTCTGAAAAACTCTCATGGCCTATCCTGGACCCATGTTTGTTGATCGGACTTGGAAATGATGTCAACCTAAACCCAGGCCCTCCATCCAACTCTTCGCTTGATGACCCCCCTGCACCGTGTGGTGTTTGTGGAGAGGAAGTAGGCTATCAAGCGAATGTTCATCATAGAGACCTCAGAAACTGCAACAAATACTCCCTACCTCTTTGTAAGACTAAGCGGTACCAAAAAAGCCCAATTGTTTACATGACAAAGATTTGGAATGAAAACCACTAATAATAACTATCTAGTGGGTCTGACCTCTAGCTGCAATCCTGAATTTTTATGCATTTGTGTTTATATCGAATTTTTTTTTCTTTTGTAACATTTGAGTGTTCCCGTTGTTTTTCTTTACCTTTGACCCCTCCCTTCCACAATCATGTTGTTCACATAACAACCTCCCTTCCCATGCCTTCCATCCCCAAGACAACTTCCCTATCCTACTTGTATCAACCTCTGCCCCTGTGTACACCCAACCTTTCCATCCTCTTTTCCCAACCTTTTTCATCCTGTGCGGTTTTACAGCCTGTTTGTACAGAATTTTAAAAAGGAAGCCTGGTTTTTATTGCATTTGTATTTCACTAAACTGTTTCTCTCGATTTTTACTGTTTGTCTTGTATCTGTGTACTTTAATACCATACATGTTTTCCCAGCTCCATTCCCCTCAACCCGTCCCTATCACTCCCTCCCTTCCTATGCCCTTTCATGATGGTTATTCTTTAAATCTCTGTGTAATTTTATTTTTTATGTAACTATTCTGCAATTCCGCTGCTGGCGGCGATAGAATAGAACAATAAACCATTAATATAATATATTATCCAGAGAAGGGTATCCAATGTTAAGAGTGTGAAAAATGGAGTCATGCCGCTTGCATCAACATGAGTAGTAAAACTTGCAACTTGTTGGCTAATTGTAGTACCTCATGGATTTGTGATGGGTGTGGTCATCCAAATTTTTCTGGTTCGCTATTTAGTATTGTGACTGATTTTGAAACTGAAAATCCCTTTACTCCACTTGACTCAGACCAGTCTTTGAGTGATGTACAACCCCTTGCTGCATCATCCCCCAAACCGCCTTGTAAAACCAGGAAGAGAAATCCTCCCCTACGCGACACAGCAAAAACAAAGTCTAAGGAACCCACCAGAGCGAAGAAGCTTACTGTCATTAACATCAACTTTCAAAGTCTGAAAAATAAGGCTTCGGAACTTTTGGCTATCCTACATGAACATACGCCAGACATTCTTATTGGCACAGAAACCTGGTTAAATGAAAAGATCCTTGATGCTGAGCTTTTCCCACCAGAGTACGCTGTCTTTAGAAAAGATCGTAATGATGGCTACGGGGGTGTCTTGATAGCTGTCAAAAACCTCTCCTGTCATCTAGTGGATGAATTAAATTCTGACGCTGAATGTATCTGGGTTCGCGTTGAATGTGGACCTAAGAAGAAGGTCTCAGTTACATGTTATAATGATATTTCTTCCACGTAGATCCTCCTGACTTCACCTCATTGACTCAGACTCCGCAAACCCCCGTCACTGAAGGCAGTGATGTAACGGTAGATGCTAATCCTTCTACTGTTGATATCATTTGGAAAAAGAACGATCCATGTGATGCATTTAACCCAACGAATGGCCTCACCAGCACACTGACTCTGAGAAACATCAGAAGGGAGGATGCTGGCTACTACACATGTACAGCGAATAACGGTGTGGCTACAGATAATCCTGCTGATGTGGTTTCATCTCCAATTACTGTCATTGTACACTGTAAGTTCACTTTTTGAGAGAATTTGCATCTACTGTAATCATATCAATTATATTTTCAATTAGTTTGTTTATTGGTCAGTATGGCTTCATTTATTGAGTTGTTAATGCATTTACTAACGAAGATTTATTGCAACCCTTTGTCTATAAAAGTAAATGATTGTAGATGGCAATTTGTTTATAGAAAATAAACAACAGCATCCTAATGATTCACACAAGTTTTTGAAATACACGTGCTGAACATTATTTCAGTCATTTTGGCGTAGCAGTTCTTCCTTCGCCTAC